TTATTACCCATTGTATAAAGGAGATGATAATGTAGTTTGTCCTTATTGCAATATAAGTTTAGAAGGATGGGAACCTGATGATGATCCTGTGTAAGTATTTTTTAAAAATTATTAATCCAATAATAACAAATTAAAAATGGGGTTAACTTATTTCTCTCTCTCTTTTTATTTAAAATTAAAGAAAAGAACATACTAAAAGATCTATTACTTGCTTATTTTTTGCTAAACCACCAAAATCAAAAAAATCAAAAGCACCAGCTGCTATTACCAGAAAACCTAAAAAGAAGAATATTGTTGAGTTTAACGAGTTGGATAAGGACGTCAGTATAAAAGTCAAGGAAATGACTGTTGTTGTTGAGCCTCATGAATTGAATAAGAACGTTTATGTCGAAGTTAATCGATTGGCTGATGTTATCGAGCCTAATGAATTAAACAAGGATGTTTGTGTAGAAGAAGAAATTAACCAATTGACTGATGCTATTGAGCCTAATGAATTAAACAAGGATGTTTGTGTAGAAGAAGAAATTAATCAATTGACTGATGCTATTGAGCCTAATGAATTGAATAAGGATATTTGCGTAGTAGAAGAAATTAATCAATTGACTGATGCTATTGGGCCTAATGAATTGAATAAGGATATTTGTGTAGAAAAAGTTGATGAATTGATTGATGCTGTTGAGCCTCATGAACTGAATAAGAACGCTTGTGTCGAAGTTAATCGATTGACTGATACTATTGAGTCTAATGGATCGAATAAAGCTGTTTGTGTAGAAGAAGAAATTAATCAATTGACTGATGCTATTGATCCTAATGAGTTGAATAAGAATGTTGGTGTCTGTGTAGATGTCAAGGAAACGGCCATTGCTGTCGAGTCTAATGAATTAAATAAGGATATTTGTGTAGAAAAGGTTAATGAATTGATTGATGCCATCGAGTTTCATGAATTGAATAATGACATTTGTGTAGAAAAAGTTAATGAATTGATTGATGCTGTCGAGACCCATGAATTGAATAAGAACGTTTGTGTAGAAGTTAATCAATCGATTGACGTTGTTGAATCTAATGAATTGAATGAAGATTGCGTAGAAGTTAATGAAATGACTGATGCTATTGGGTCTAATGAATTGAATAAGGATGTTTGTGTAGAAGTTAATGAATTGATTGATGCTGTCGAGACTCACGAATTGAGTAAGGATGTTGGTGTAGAAGTCATTACTCAACAAATTGCAGATAAACTGAAATTGAATGAATTTGGTGATGCTAGTTTGGTAAATATATTGAAATAGTTGTTTCAATTCTTTAAAATGTGTATAATAATAACACTATTATTATTATTATGTATTATTTTAAATGGATATTAGAATCAGGATGAACAAATGGATATTATTATTAGCAAAGATAATATTATTATTGGTAATGACGATATAGTTACGAGCAATAATACCACTAACAGTTATGATATTGTTAGTAATGACGATATTATTTATAATAATTTTATGGTGGATGAAAATAATGATAATGTTATTGAAACGATCACCACCCCAACATTTTTCACTTCACCAATACTATCAAAATTACCAACACTTTTCACTTCGCCAATACTATCAAGATTACCAACATTGTTATCATCACCGACATTATCAAGATCACCAATAATAACATCAAATCAATCGCAAATTAAAAAATTTACCGTGGAAGATTATTTAAGAGATTTGGGCGAGCAACAAGAAAAGAAGCTGGAAATCGAAATTGAGAAAATTATTGAAAAATTGTTGAATGCTAAAAAAAAATTAAAAGAAGAAATAATGCGAATTCAAGTCATATAATATAAAGAAGAAAAAACCAATATTGCGTATTTTATATAGAAAAATAAAATAAGTTTTATGCGCCTTGCTTGATCTGGTGAAACTTTAGATTATTATGATGACGTCATTTATGTTTTTATTAAATTCCACATTTCTTATTGAGATAATAATAAAGTATTATGTTTTGGCATTAACAAACTTATGAAAAGAAATAATAGTCGTAATCATAATAATCATAATAATAGAAACATAAAAGACAATAAAATCATATAATATTAGTTTTGGGGTGTCGTGGATGTTTTTGTACATTTTCTTATTGAAGTGTGATTATAACTGTTATATGTATGTCCAAAATAACCAATAATGATAAAACATAACATCGAAAAGAATAATAATAATAAAGTAATAACATTAAAAATACAAATAAATTCATTTTACTCTTCCGAGACTTTTGTGGCTTCTGTATCAGTAACTGTTGGTTCAGTTTCATTTGTTTTGTCATTGTCGTATTCATTTCCTGATTGTCGTTTTACAATATCTACAATTATTTTTCTGTCATTTCTTCTTGAATAACAGGAGTTTGATCAATCATAATAAATTCATTGGCATATACAGTATTTGGATCTTCTTTAGCTATTAAATTAGTTGAACTTTGATTATTATTGATGATTTTAGTTTTTTCCCAGCCGTTTCAACAGTTACTTATTAGGTATAAAATCAATTTTATCGAAAATATTTATTTCAGGTATTTCTCTCTGGTTTTTAATTAATTCTTTAAAAAAATTACACAGAACTTATACTAATATTAAGTACAAGACCTACGTAGACAGCCTACAATAAGGTTTAAGCTCCGACGTCGCGAACGACTCTTGTTGTTCTTCTGTAATCTACTTCAAAAGTATATTACGAGCTCCGTTTATATCTCTATTAATGGTGAATTGGCAAAATTAATATGATTTTTGAATCACCCAGATTCGATTTGATGACTCCGCAATATCCGCACGATTTGCTAATGTATTTCTCAGCGCAGATGACGAACTTGTGCCGAGGGTACTCGCGGATTTGTGGAGCAAATGTTGGCGAAAACGGTAATGTGACCAAGTTAACATTTGTCTCACAGTTTTAGAGTAGATTTTTTTAGAACCACATTTTTTAACCACGCTCTTGTTTTAAACCCAGAGAGCGAAACTACATGATGGTTTTGCATAACCATCTTGTTAATCTTTAATGACATTCATCCATAAGATTATGAATTTTCTTGTGGATTCGGATAATTCGTTAGATTGGACGGATTGAACGGATTATCCATTGGATTAAAAACATTAAGATAGAATTTTAATACCAATATTTTTGATAACTCGTTGATTTCATCCAAAGGTGTAATGATGTAGCAGATTATATGTCTTTTATTGATAAAGTTAAAGTGCTGTATGTGATATTTAGGAATTTACTATAATTTGCCTTTATAGAAAAGTTGTATTATACTTTTTGTGATATATAAAAATTCTATACAAAAAAAATTAAAGGGCTATTATAGTAATAGTAATAGAGGAAACGCAGATTTGGGCGTGTGTTCGATTTATTCATGGATCAGTCGTTTTTTAGGCATTTCATCCAATTCAATTCTTCTTCTGAATTTATACATCTAGTATTTTCATTAGTAATAAAAATGAACATATAAATTTTGTTTTACGGAGTACTGCTATACTGCTTGTTCATAATTTATCGTTCACATGATAATAATAAATAAATAATACAGACCACACATAATAATATGATAATTTGTTATGCCGATGTGATTATTTTTATCAAAGATATTTCACCATAAATTTGAAATACAGGAAAAAAAAATATTGTATATTTGCTTTATTGTTACAATAAAATATATAGGCACATAGGTGCCAGATACATATATCAAGAATAGTGTAGCTAGTGTCTCTGATACAGTTACAAAAAATTGTCTATTCTTTATCTTTTTTTTTTTACAATGTTTAGGGCAACTTCTTGAACAGATGACTCTTTTACATCGAATTAGGGGTGTAGGCCTCTAAGAGCCGTTCCTTTTTGGTTTTCACTATTTATCAGTTCTTCAATTTTGAAAATCACCCCAGATTCCGTCCTTCTTTTTCTGCTTCCCCGAGTAGCTGAAGGGGAAGACGATGATGGAAGTCTAAAGAAAAAGTAAAATTTATTAACATAACTATTATTACTATTACTGTTAATACTATTTATACTTACAGATTTTTTTGGTAAAGATTCTATATTATAATTGATTTGCTCTTTATTCCAAGGATTATGTTCACGGGGTTAATATAGGTGCTATTATCCTCTAAATTTTTTGCACTGCATTTTCGTTTTGAATTGACCTATTGTAAGAAAAGCAACTATTAACAGTGTGTAATTTTTTATTTAGGACAAAGGAAGGTATGTAGCCAACCTTTCCTCCGGAATCTGCAGACCTTTATCAACAACAAAGTTAGAGCGTCTGAATAGAGGACTTGGAGTGGTTACCAAGCTGTTATACCCAGTAATTCTCCTAGGCAATGGGCATATTGCACTTTGACTAGAAGTTACCCTAACCTTGCAAAATAAAAATACACCCATTTCCATTAGTGGAAACGACATAATTATGTCGTTTCCACTTAGTCTAGGTTATTCCCCCTCAGGAGTGACGAGCGTTTTGCATTTGCCTCGTCATTCGAGTGACGAGCGTTTTGCATTTGCCACGTCATTCGAGACTGTGGCTATTTTTTGTATATCAAATTGGTGATCCCGGGTGATTTAAAATACAAGGCGCTCAGTGAGTTAGGTTATGAAGGAGTGACGTGCGTTTTGCATTTGCCTCGTCATTCGAGCGCAGTCGATCGCAAAATTCAAGTCATGATTGATAGATGGCTTGAATACCCTTTTGAAAGTCAAATTCGATATCAATAATGTTTTAATCACTCATATAAATTTTCGTATATCGGTTTAGTGCTTCTAATCGATTTCCGTTATAAATAAATCCCCGAATTAGGTTATGACGTAGCATCATAGTCCTTCTGCGTTTTCTATTATAACCCAAATTCGATAGCATTATTTGTATACCGATTTGATAACCGTGACTGATTTCCGTTGCAATAAAATAACTGGGGTAGGTTATGAAGGAGTGTAAGCCTCATCGCGAGTTTGATCGGTCAAACATATTTTATACGTCATTTGATATCACATGCTAGTGTCAAAGACACATATTATCTGGTTATGCTATCAAGTATGTCGCGTAATTGATATCGGTATATGCATCGCGTAATTGCTATCGGTATTGATTGCAGGTTGATGGGCGGAGTATATATTTATGAAGGCGTCTGATTTCTGCATTTTTAGTCTCCGCCATGTAACATTCATGATCATCGTCACCTATAAGTAGCACTCCAGGAAAATGCTTATTTTGGCTTTTACGATGAATTCGATTGCGAGGGATGAGATACGAAGTGTCGAATTGCTATCAATTAATGCTATCTAGTTGCTAACGGGTATATAATATTACCGAAGTTACCTACCCCGAAAGCATACCCGAAAACATATCATGAAAACGGGTAGGTTTCTGCCATAATTCTTATAATATATTTCCGCACTTACCTACCCCAAAAACATATCGTCAAATGGGTAGGCATCTTCCATATTTATATATAATATTTCTGAAGTTACCTACCCCGACCACATATATCCGAATACGTATCATCAAACAGTGAAGCCTTCTGCCATTTTTCTTATATATATTACGCAGTTAGCTTCACCTCACCATATACCTAAAGCATACCCGAAAACATATCGTCAGATGCGGTATATAACTTCATTTTTTCTTATGTGTCAAAGACACTAGCTCCGCTATATATTATTACCGCACTTACCTACCATGCCAAAGTGGTGTATTCTTCCATATATTATATATAATATTACTGAAGATTACACCACTCGATCACATACCCGAAATATATATGCTAAGGTGGTGTGTTCTTCCATTTTATATATAATATATTTCTGAAGATTACACCACAAAGTTTTCTTTATCTCTATCACATTCATTTACATTCTCGCTAAAATATTTGATACATATTTTTTACTATCACTTACCACCAACTGAAAAAATTAATTTAAACTTTTCCAAACTATATTGTAATAATATAATCGAACAAAGATTGATACATACCAATAAAAAAAACCAAATACCAAAAATGAGCAAACAAAACGCACAAGTGATCGGGTACGGGGGCGGGGAAACCTTAGCCAGAATCCCAACTCGCAATGATATTATTTCGGAATGTGATAATGGGTTAACTGCTATACTCCAACAAAATTTATCCGATAAAAAACCTATACACTTCATGCCCAATGATGTAAGTGATGCCACTGAATATATAAATGGGGTATCTACATATATTCTACGTATTTACGGCACTTTGATTAATGGGCAAAAGGCTAGAGTAGACATTACAGGTATCAAGCCCTTCTTCGATGTTGCCATGCCTGATAACAAACCTTTATCTATATTCAAACCAAGATTAGTAAAAATTATATTGGGATCGGAAAAAATTGATAAATCAAAGTTTGGGATAAAAGTTATCCACGCGTATCCAATTCGTGGTTATCATACCGAGAAAAAGGTATATGTTTGTATCACTACATGGAATCATTATGATAGAACACGAATTTTGAAAGAGGTTCGTAAACACAATATTGAAACGGCATCGGATGATATCACTAATGTTTATTATTATCGAAAAATAGCCCGTGAAGAAAAACTACCCCTTTCTGAGTGGGCTGTATTAAGCAATTATAATTACATATCAAATACAAATTCATCATATTGCCAGATATACAAATCGGGTTTAATGATTCACAGTATGACTGGCCTTTTATTATAGAAAAAGCCAAAAGTTTAGGTATTCTTGAATGGATGTTTAATCATATGTCACCTGAATCATCCAACGTTGAAGAAATTATAAAATGGAAATATCGAAAAAGTGAGATAAAGATATCTGATGAGAAATTCTACTCAAAGTATCTTAAAATACCAGGATGTATACCTATTGATGTTCGTGCTTGTTTCAAAAAATTATATCTAAAATCAGAGGCGAGTTCACTTAAATATTATCTAGATGTCTGTGGGTTAGATGAAAAGGCAGATATGCCCATTCACATTATGAATAAGTATTACGAAGAAGCAATACTCCAACCCTCTGATGTTTCTGCAAAAAATATGCATGAAGTGGCAAATTATTGTATAATAGATGCACTGAGATGCCAAGAGCTTATGGTTAAACATAATGTAATCAATGACTATAGGGAAGTATCATCTATTGCATATGTTTCTCTTTCTGATTCTCATTATTTTGCGGGGGGTATGAAAGTATGTAATCTTTTGGGAGCTGAAGCTTGGAGTAGTAATATGTTGTGTAGTATGATTGCTTCAGAAAATACAGAATCTGGTAAGTACCCAGGAGCTTATGTTATTGCACCGATAAAAGGTCTCGAAAACAAACGCCCAGTAACAGGCTTAGATTTTGCTTCCCTATATCCAAGTCTTATGATGACTTACAACCTCTCACCCGATAAGATTATACTATCTCGTGGAGAGGCGATAAATACACTACGTAGTGGAAAGAAGCTTCACAAGATTGAGTTTCCATTTAATGGTCGAACTATAGAAGCTTGGTCTATTCGCCACAATAATATACCTGAAGAAAAGGGTTTATATGCCAGGGTGTTAGAAAATCTATTTAATAAACGAAAGGGGATGAAAAAATGCCTTAATGAGTTGGATGAGAAAAGTTTCGAATATAGTTGCTTAGACTCAAAACAAAAGGCAGTAAAATTATATATGAATACGTTTTATGGTGAAGCAGGTAATAATCTCTCTCCATTCTATCAACTTCAGTTAGCGGGTGGAGTTACTTCTGCTGGACAGCGTAATATTAAATTTGTTAGAAAATTTGTTGAAGATAAAGGATTTGGCGTTAAATATGGAGATACCGATTCTTTATACCTCACATGCCCAGGAGAGTGTTTTCAGGAATGTGATCAAAAATATAAATTGGATCAACTCTCACGAGAAGAATACTGGGAAGAGATGGTAAAAATCTCTATGGAAGCAATGAAGAACCTCCGTAACGATGTAAATGCTGAGCTGGAAAAGGACAATGGAACACCTTACCTTAATATGGCATACGAGGAGGTCTTATTTCCCGTGGTATTTACAGGAAAGAAAAAATACTATGGCCTGGAGCATAAAGATAAGCCAAACTTTAATCCGGGTAAACTTTTCATTAGAGGGGTGGATGTTGTGAAAAGAGGTCAATCTAAGCTCTTCCGTAATGTAGGTGAGGAGATTATGGATAGAACTTTGAAAGTCGATAATGAGGAAACGATGCATCAGATTGTTGAAAAAGTTCTTTGGGAAAATGTAGAAAAACTTTCCAAGTTAGATTATGATGAATTTATCCAGACATGTATATGGAGACCTAAAAAGGAGGGTAAGCAGGGAAATATTTCTGTAGAACGGTTTGTTTCACGGATGGGGGCTAGATATGGTCGCGAGGTATTGGAAAATCAACAGCTTATGAAGAAGGGTTTATCAGTCAATGAGTATTTATATAAAGTTCCCAAACCCGGTGAACGATTTAGTTACATTGTAGTAGTACCTGAAGAGATTTATGATAATTGCGGAAAAAAAATATCACAGAAAAAAGGGGACTGTATGGAATATCCAGATGTGGTAAAAAGGTTTAACAAGAAAATTAATATTGATTATTATACCGAGAGTTTATTTGCTCTTTGTGCCCGTTTTATAAATTATGATGATAAATACCAACCATCACCTGAATCTTTGGCAAAAGCCTTGGATCGTAAAAAGAAATCAAAGGAGAAGAAATCGAAAAATGTTAAGGATTTATTACAAAGCAATGACTCTCCGAGTCTAGATGAAGATGAAATAGCAAATATCAAAGATGTAGAGTCGCAGAAATTGGCTAAAAAATGGCTCAAAAATTATATTAAGAATTTACGTGATGCTCCAAAAAAAGATGAAGCCATTATCTCCCATTTATGGAAAAATGCTACTACACATGCTGAAAAAATATGTTCTAGTATTAG